AACTTTTTCAACTTAATTTTTGAAAATGTTCCGGAAATACTGCGTCCTTTAAACATATATAAAATTAAAGCTTATTTTATGTACTACAAAATGAAAAAAAAAATTTGTCCCAACGACCTATCTTCTATACGCAAATGACTGCCGTATTCAAAAATATGCTATTTTTGTATTAAAATTATGGGTTTTGTATTTTATTTTAATAGAAGTTGATGTTGATTTTGCAATTATTCATCAATTTTTTAAAATTAAACACTATCTACAGATTTGCATCGAAGCGTTTCTTATGATAGTGATTTTAATCACTTTCAGATTAAATCTATACTGGATCCAACTATGCAATGTCTCCACTATGCCGTGACCCCACTGTGCTACCGTTTTTTTTACTTAAAACTGCCATAACTTTTTTTGAAATGACCAAATCAATATAATTTTTTTTTTTTGGATGCATGACTTACTTATTATTTGGTATATTTTTGTATAAATCTGACCCTTTACCTACCCACAGGGGGGGATTTGAAATGACACCCTTTTCACAAAATATTAACTTTTAAAAGTGTTCCGGAAAATATGACACTTTTATATATATCTTAAATCAGTGGCGTATTTTGAATGATTTCTCGGGGGGTGTCCAACATTTAATGAACCTCACAAACGAAAATTGTAAAAATGTTTATTGACGTAAAAAAAAATTACTATATTGGGAATTGACAAGTAATTTGAAATTTGAAACTTTGGTATATGTCATAAAAAAGAAAGTAAAGGATATTAATTATAATAATAAAAAGAATGAAGAGATGAAGGAAATAAAATAATTGGCTATATGTGTGATATTTATATTTTTTATAATTAAGAAAGAGGAATAATAATAGAATATAGATGTTGTATTACTTAATACTGATAAGTGATAACCAACATTTTTTTTTTAATTACTTTTTAAATTGTTGTGAAGATACAACGATATTGAGATTTATTTTAATATTTCATGATCTTTATTTCTTATATTTTTGTATTTTAAAGATTATAGTAAAATTAACAATTTTTGAACTTTAAAACTAAATTTATAATATAAGATCTAGGCGTCTCTTCTTTTTACTTAGATTATCAATTACTTCACTGGTATCAATGCAAACTTCTATGTTAATGGCTAGCATAGCCAAACCATTTAACCACCCCTGTATTAAAAAAAAAACTTAAAAAATCATAATTATAAAATAATAAATTAACCAATATTAATTTACTTGTGTCATTGTGTTTCGCAAGTATGTCTTTTTTCTTTTCAAGTTAGAAAACGACCTCTCATTAGATGCAGTTGATACTGGTAAAGTTGCAAAAATCTGTAAGAGTTTAAATACATTTGGATAAATTTGGCTATTGCATAAAACTATTGCTTCCATGGCATTTCTTGGTGTATTTGATGATTTAATACTTTCTAAACGTCTTTTCCATAATTTGAACTCTGCCAGTAACACAGATTCTTCGCATTCATTTAAGTCAAACATGTACATTTGCGCCAAACGTAAGAAGTGAGCTTCATTTTCGTCTGTTGAAATTAATGATTTGAAGTCCAATAACAACATTTTTTGATTAACAAACCTTAAATTTAGTTGATCTATAAATGTATCTATGTAAGGAATAAAAAAAGCAACTCGAAAATATGACTCTGGTGAATTTGTCTCAATATTTACTCTGTTCGTTTGTCTTCCTATAATACGTGGTATGGAAATATTTGTATCTAGTTTATTTGATAAAGTCAATGCATTTTCAAAAATTTTATGAAATTCAGACTCAGCATTCGATCTTAAAGTTTGAAGTTCTTTTATTGTATCTTCCGCAAGATCCATAGCTTCACCTAGATCAATATTTATTCTTTGAAATTGTTTTGAAAGAGGTAACCCAAAACTAAATACTTTATTCACAATAAGTAAACAAATAATAAAATCTCCTTTCAGTATTGATGTTCGTAGATTGCTTGCTTGTTATGATGTTTCAGTAACACTCCACTTCGAAATTATATATAACGATTCAATTACGTACTCAAAAAGCTCAAGAAAATCATTGACAGCACGAAAACGTTCAACCCATCTGGTCGCACATAATCGTTTTAATGTTTTTTTTGTCATACATTCTTGGCTTTCTTCGATTTGACTTTTCAACACATCTTTTCGCTTCGGGTATATAAAGAAATCTCTAACTTTAAATATTGTTCCTAAACAATTTCGTATTTCTTGTATAGAACATGAATAAGAAATAGCAAGGTTTAAAACATGAGCAGCACAATGAACATACGTCGCAAGCGGGTGACTTTGGCGAATAATAGCTTGAGCTCCGTTAAATTGACCAGACATAGAAGCACATCCATCGTAACCCTGTCCTCTAAGGTATTTTGTATCTACACCAAATGAATATAAACTTGTATAATAATATCGGCTAAACCTTTTCCAGTAGTATCTGTCGTAGGCACAAACTGAAGAAATTCTTCCTTGATAATCATATTTTCAACATCTAAATATCGTGCACACAAAGATACTTGTTCGATTCCACAAATGTCAGCTGTTTCATCAGCAAGTATTGTGAAACATTTTTGGGCATTTATGTTTGTTACGATTTTATTTAAAATAATTTTATTGCAGGATTCAATTATTTCATTTTGAAGTGTTGCACTTGTATATTTTATTGTTCCTTCAGCTTCCAAAAATGATTTTAAATGTTTATCTCCTTGGGCTCTATATCTTAATATTTCTCTAAAATTTCCCTGATTTTCTTGGATAAGCCTATCATTTTCTTGTTCAACAATAATTTTCCCAAAATCTCGATGTCCTCTAGGAGGAATATTTTGTTTACCACATAAAATTACGGTTTGAATTATTGGAGTTATATTTTTTCGATTTTTTCTAATTAGTTCAGCTCTTCCAGTTTCTATTTTACACGTTATAGATTTCTCAGGATGTTTTACAACATCCATAAAATTATCTGAACTTAACACACATGTTTTATGGTAACCCTTGTTAGAATGTTCTTTGAAATCAACAATAGCATTTCTCCAATTATCATATTTTTTTTTTACTAATGCACCTAAGATTTGTCCGTTATTTTCATTCGATTTGGAAAAAGCTACACAGATTCGACAAAATGCACCATTTTCTTTTATCGAGTATACCAACCAAGGGAATCTTAATAGCCATGAATACTGGAACTTTAAGTATTTTGGTTTATTTTGAACTGTATATAGTTTTTGTGGGAATTTGAATGATATATTTGGCATCCAAATTTTCGTCATAACAATTAAGATATCTTCGTTCGATAACTTACGGTTAATATAAAATTCAATATCATAATTATTACTATAGTTTGTGTCCTCAGTAAAAGAAATATTATTTGAGTCTTTTGTATCTAAACTTAAAGTGCGACAAATTTTAGCAGAGTCAATCGAGTTAACTGGCGAAGATGCTCGTTTATTCGTAAGAGTATCGTTGTTATGAGTTCAATTAAATTCTGAGGTAGTAGGTGTTAACTTAAAAAAGGAAGTAATTGATCCTTTCTTTTTTTGTGCCATTTTTGGTAATTTTACAACACTTTTTTCCATAATTGTCGCAAACTATAATAGTTAAACAAAATTCAAAAACGTTTAATTTTTTATTTTTTCGAAAAATTCTTAAAGAACCATTTTGTAGAGTTACATACAAGTATAAGTAACTTAGAGAAAAAAAACTTAAATTGGTTGAATACTAAATGAATAAAAGCAATTTGCCCTGGCCCCCTCAGCTACACCCGTCATAATATTACATAATATGATTGAAACACTCGGGCGGCAGTGCGGCATTTTTACTCTAACTGCCATCGTCGTAATGACTGCCGGATATCTGTAAAACTCGCCCAAAGAACTATTTATAGATAACGTAGATTGCAATATTGACAAAACACGAATTTTTCTATTCAGTGACAAAATATTATATTTTAATATAATTACTTACTCTTATTCTAATAGTTTATTAATCATATTAGTAGTTGATATGTATTTTTTAAGGGGAGGCTCAGTTTCAAAGACTATATTGCTAGTATAATGTATAAATGGACAGCACGGGTAAAAGGAAACAAGTAAAAATTACTAGTTTCGTTAAATATTATTTATGTATTAATATTTTTTTGGAATAGCTAACTGAAGCATAATACTGATCAAAATTATAAAATAAACTTTTACAAACTCAGTTATAAATGACTTGTTAAACTTTACTTTTTTTTGTAACGCGTAATAACTTAGTTAAGATATAATAAAAATAAAAATATTATTTTAAAATATTTAAATAAAATTAAAATTGTATAATAGTTTATTACACATTTATTCGTTATTTATTCGTAATTTCTAATAAAATTCCTATGATTGGTTCATATTTTAATTATTTATTTTATTTGAATAAATAGGTAGGTACTTAGTACTTACTTTATGGCACGTTATAGCTGTATGCTCGACGGTCGACGAAAAAATGAATGTCAAATAATAGTATTATTCAAATGTATAATTCGCTTAACTGATAAACTATATAAAATAGATTTCAAAATAAGCTACAAGTTCAGAATATTTCCGTTGTTATTATATTTTTCCTGCGGGTACTTTTGTTATCTTTATGACCCAGTGAAATTCAAATAATTTCTAGATATCCCTGATAAAATGTAGATAAATCTCGTAACGTGTCGTCGAATCATATCAAATTAACTTGATTTTTGTCATTTATTTAATAGTATATTATAAAAAAAAGGTAATACCAATATATTATGCATCTTTTTTTTTAAAGTCGGGGGGTGTCCATACATGGAGGACACCCCCCCAAAATACGCCACTGTCTTAAATTATAGCTAATGTAATGTACTTTATTATGGAAAAAAAAAATTTTGGACTATTTTGTCTTTACGGTGAAAATGGCTACCAAATGCTATTTTTGTTTGAAAAATCTCGATTTTATATTTTTAACTTTATTATGCTATAACTTTTAGAAAAATGTATGGATCAATACAATTTTTTCATGAAAAGTAGTATTTATATACATCTTTCATACGACATACTTTTTTTTTTAAATAACACCATTTCCCTTTATATATATATATTCATATATTACACTTATAAATCATAAAACTTGTAATCAGGATATAAATAAGGAAATAGGAGATCATGTTGCTTTTGAAATAATCCACCAATTTTTTAAAAGTAAACACTATCTACAGATTTGCATCAGTGTTTTTTTATAGTGATTTTGATCACTGTCAAATATTATTATACTTAATCCAACTATGCCACATCCCCACTGTGCTGAGTTTTTTTATATTTAATGTACCTCATTTTATAAAATGCCTAAAATATTTTAAATAAGGTTAATACTATTTCTTTGATAAATCTTGTAACGTTGCACATTAAATCCAATTATATAATAATTTGAAAATTTTAAGAAAAAAAAGTTTGTTTCAAATAATTGAATTATTGGTATTTATGATTATAAATAGCTGTGGTCTGAAGGGATTAATACATTTTGATGATAAAATATTACAATTTATAATAAGTTAATTTCATAATCATTTATTACAAAGAAATTAATTTTATTTAAACAATCAACAAGTTTTTAAACTATAATTATTAATATCGAATAATTGAAATTTAGATGTACCACTACCACCAACAGCTAGTAAGTTTGGACATTCTACACAACCATCTAAACTATGTAAAGCTCCAGAAAATTCTTTTATTTTAATTAAATGTTTTTTTTCTTTGTCCCATACTTTTAATGTTTCATCAGATGATGAGGTAACAATATTTTTATTCCAAACATATATGCCTGTAATTTCTTTTTCATGACACCTGTATTTCCATAATGGTTTATCCATACGACAATCAAAACAAATTAATCGGCCCCTATCTGAACCCACATAACATAGAAATCCATTTGAAGGATCCCAAGCCATTTTTTCTACTTTACCCTTCACAGACCAAACTTTATATGTGTCATATGTACGGCAGTCATAAATGTAAAAATCAGAAGATCCAACTGCTAAAGTTTGGGACTCTAATGGATGCCATTTTAAAGACTGTACATGATCACCAAATCCTTCCATTTGTGTATTAGGTTCACCAATTTCTAAATCCCATAATAAAACAGTTTCATCAACTGAACCACTAGCAAATATATGAGGTAAATGTTCATTCCATGATAAATCTAGGACAGCATCAGAGTGGCCATAGTTTTTTTCAGAATTTTTTTTTTTTTTTCTACCAAGTCTAAACAAAAAGTTGAAATTATAGCATCTTTTAATAATAATAACATATAGATTATTTATCATTAGTAACTTGGTATTAGAAAATAATTACCTAAGAGTTGGTTCCAGGCATCCAATTAAATCAATATCCCATATATCAATTACCGCTGACATAGATCCTAGAGCACAAAAATTACCCATAATCCCACACCATTCTAAACACAATGGAGGGTGTTTTAGTGAAATATCATGATGAATATAAAAGTCATTATCATTGTTATTATAAACATACACTTCTAAAGAGCATTCATTTTTTTTTACATTTCCAACTAGGATAAGATTATCATCAGATTTAAGTACTTCATCAAATTTATCACTGTCATCAGAATCATCAAAATTGTCATGGTATGTGGCTAAATTACTAATTGCCATTGCACTAGATATATCCATATCTTCTTTGTCATAATTTTCAAGGCCGTAATCATCACTTTTTTTTTTATTAGATACTTCTTTTTTATTTGTTAACTCTTGAAGCTCTTTTTGTGTTAATTTAACGATATTTTGATTTGACGATGCCCCCTGTTTTACCCATTTTACACAGGGTATAAAACTAGTCATATTCAATAATTTTATAAAATCGAAAGTTCTCCAAAAATGTAAATTGTTTGTTCAAAATAATGTGTTAAAATTATATCTATTTTTATAAGAACTCACTCTTTATATATCGAAAATAAATACATAAAATTAAATATCTTAATAAATAATTGTACGGCAAATCATTAATTGGATATTATAAACACACACATGTGATACTGTGATATAATTCAATTATATAGATAAAGTTAAAAATTCTTTGTTATCTTATAAACTATCATTGATAACAATTGTCGGTATGTCCAATTAAAATTTTTTTTTGAGATATTAATATAAAACAACTCGTCACTCAATTTTTACTAAAGCAAGGATAATATATTTACTCTAATTAACAAAAATCGACATTCAATAGCAATAATTTTCTAATTGAACTATTTCTATTTTATTTTAAATAAACATTTATTAATATTAAATGAAATAGTGATTTAGTCTCTGTTTAAATTATACAAAATAACATGTCCACTAAAAGGAATATACCTTCGATATTAAGTCATTTGTTGAATCTTGATTCAAATCTTACTTCTATTTTTTGTAATTCATTTTGCAAATTATTGCCACCACGGAAATTTAATACCTATTATAAAGGATTAGAGGTAAGTACATTCTACTAATTTTTATATTTTGTTTCATTATAGAAAATTTAATTAAGTCACTATTTTTCTAATATTGTTAGTTTCTTAAATTTAAAAAATTTTTATGGAATATATATTTTTATACTTTAAACATTTTACTGTAAAGTGAATAACACATTTGTATTTAAATACTAAATTTACTTAGATATGACATTTTAAACATATTTTATTACAGCATTTAATTAAAAAACCCAGCACAGGGGGGTCGCGGCATAGTTGGATCAAGTATAATGATATCTGACAGTGATTAAAATCACTATAAAAAAAAAACGTTTTGATGCAAATCTTTAGATAGTGTTTAATTTTAAAAAATTGGTGGATTATTCCAAAAGCTACATGATCTGCTAGTTCATTATTAATATCCTAATTAAGATAAAGCATGTCGAATGAAAAAGGGATTATTAAAAAATATTATTTCTCATAAAAAAATAATATTGATCCATACACTTATCAATATGTCATAGCATTATAAAGTTAAAAATGTAAAAAATAAAATCGAGAATTTTCACACAATAATAGCATTCGGTAGCCATTTTCCCCGTGAAGATGAAATAAAGTCCGAAATTTTTTTTTACCATAATAAAGTATATTACATTAAATTAAATTTAAGATATATATAAAAGTGTCAGACCTTCAGAAACATTTTCAAAAATCAAGTTGAAAAAATTAATTTTTTGAAAAAGTTGTCATTTTAAATCCCTTCCTGTGGGCAAGTAAAGGGTCACATATAAAAAAAAAATATACCAAATGAAAGTTTAAATTAATAAAGGTTATTTTTAAAAAAGTTATAGCAATTTTAAGTAAAAAAAATTGAAAAATTGTTGAAAATTAGCGATTTTTAAATTTGTATTTTTTTGGAGGTTTCCCCCATTTACGGGAAACGAGGGGATTTTTTTCAATTTTTGAGGGTAATGTCTTCGACTAGATACGATTTGTGATCTTCTGACGTATCATTGAAAGAAATCGGTTTGGTGAGAGCTAAGAAAAAGTGGTAACAGACACAAAAAAAAAAAAAATTAATTAACACATCTTAGTAAAACCAATACCTTCTCAGCTTCGCATCGAAGCTAAAATTAAAAAGCTTTAAGTTTGGTTAGTAACATATAAGCACCTATTATACTTACGTTATAAATACTAAGTACCTAAATTTGTCCAACTGTTGAAATTTTAGTATTCATGTCATGGAATTTTGTGGCTTTCTAGTTGGTTAGCTTTTATTTGGCTTATTTGGACACCGTCAATGTTTCAAATGCAAGTCAATTTTTTATTTGGTAAGTAAAATGTAATTAAATTATTGATTTTAATTTTAACATATCCATGTCATTATTTTAGTTTGTATTATTATATAATGTAACATCGCCAAGGTAAAATAAATTTTATGATTAAAAAAACAATTTTTGGTTATATGTACAATAGATTTATTATATCAAAATAACAAAGTTTAGTATGCATGAGTGCATGTATATTTTGTGTCATGAAAAGATTTTCTATTAAAAATTTGTACTACATAGAAATATTCTTAAAAATTTATTAGCAGGTCTATTTTTTTTTTGGGAGGTTGACTGATTATACAAAGATTGGTAAAATCAATAATTTTATAATAAAAATTTAAAAAAAAACGTAATTAAATTACAAGTAATATTTCTAAATTTTATAATTATACAAAATACTTCTGGAAAAATAAGAAAACTTTGTAAAAAAAAAAACACCTAGTTAGAATTTATATTTGTGACTGAATTTAAGTTTGATAATTAAAGTAGTCATTGACATTTATTAATGACTTCAATTTGTTAAGTCATTGTTTGCATTTAAACAATTTTATTTTTAGGACTTTTGATCGATATAGTTGTTGTTGCAATTTTAAAAGCTTTTATTAGAAGACGGCGTCCAGTTGGCAATAAGAATGATCAGTGGATTACAATTGGACCTGATGTATACTCTTTTCCATCTGGTCATGTATCACGTGCATTTTTTATAGCATTTTATTTTCATCAGTTGTATCCATTAAACAAATTAATTAATGTACTATGCTTTGTTTGGGCAATAGCTGTAGCCTTAAGCCGTATTCTTTTAAGACGTCATCATTTATTAGATGTTTTTGCAGGTAGTATTATTGGATATTTAATATCATTTGTAGTAAATTTATTTTGGCTTGATCAAAGTAGTGCAGAGTATATAATTTCATTTTTATCAGATGACAAAGCAGAAGGTGGCGAATATCATGTATAAATTTTTTTGGATATTTATTTTATTTGTTATATTTGTATATGATGTTTAATCTTAAAATGAAATTTGTCTAGTTATCCAATTTTTAAAACTAATATTTATAATAAAATAAATTAATAAAACTATTACTGTTTTACTACTAATCTTATATTTTCCCATTAAAAAAATGTGATTTCTTGTGTTCTCTTAGTAATAGAGTAAATTTTTATTTAATAGCTTTATTTATTTATTTTTAAAATTCTAGTTTAATTTTACTTCATTTTATTTACTTCTATTTATCTGGTTCAATTTAATTAATAATTCTTAACTCTTGTTTTTTTACAAGATCTTAAATGATAAATACTTTAGTTTTTAGTTATTACATAAAAAAATCTTGGTATATATCAAAAACTAAAAAAAATACTATTTTACACAAATAAAATTTTATATATTGAGTATTTTTATAAGATATGCATTTTATGTAAAATAAAAAAATTATGTTTATCATTAGTAAAAAATCAATTGATTTTATATCTAAACTATTTCACTGCACTTAAACATGTTTGATATAGTTCTAATTAATTAACCTCATATACAGTATAACAGTTTAAATAAACTAATACTTAGTATTAATACCATATTAATGTTAAAGGTTTTGAAATTTAAGTTTTAGAGCTGTATCTAAAAGTCAGTTTTAATAAGATTTGATTTTTTTTCATAATTATTTTTCAATAACTGTGGTTCATACAAATTTTTAAAGGTCCAAAATTCTACACTTTTAAAAGGGTGTATTTAATTTTTATAATAAAGTGTGTATTTTATAATTCTACTGACTTATAAGAAAAATGTTTTAAAAATTTGATTTTACATTGAACGCATAATTCCAAATTTATTGCATATTGTAAATTTAACAATTGTGAAATATTACACAATAGTCCATTCAGTTAAATTCAAATTTATAACTATATTATTGAATAATCGACTTTCAACTATAAATTTAAAAAAAAGTAATTGTTTTTATTTAATAGTTTTAGTTATTAGTGAGGAGGACACAATGCCCATGCACTCAGACCCGTTGGTCCATTTTTATTTAATAATTGATAACATTAAAAATAAATAATTAGATTGAAAACAAATGTATATTAATAATAAAAATTGTAAAAAAAAGATTATAATGTAAAAAATATATGTTGCTCGCCTTGCTCTTATTTCACTTAACACATACTAAGTTAATATTATAAAATAATAAATTGGTGAGTAAAAGCAAGACAAGATTTGTTCGGCTAATTAATATATAACTAGGAAATAATTCAAGTAATGAATATAAATATTTTTCATTTAAAAAATAGTTGCTTACATAAATATCATTAAGTTACCACAACTGAGTATGAAAATTTTTAATATCTAATTTTTGATGATTATTATCCATGTTAGAATGGTTATTTTCATGATGTACCTGTTCAATTTTAGGTTCTATTTCCTTATGTTCCTCTTCTTCGGGTTTACTAGTTTTTCTATAAAAAAAGTTAATAATTTAACCAAACTAGAAGTTGAACATTTAACAAAAAAAACAGAAAATAAGTGTAGGAATGATTAAAATACTTAGATGGATGAGTGGAGTGACAGGAGAAGATAAGATAAGAATTGAATATGTAAGAGGAAGTAAAGAGGTAGCGTTGATAAGATAAGAGATGGTTAATGTTATGAGAAGAGAGAAACTGGAAACTGTAAAACGATTATTAAAATGAATATTGAAGGAAGATGAGAAGACTGAAAAAGAGGTATGATATAAGGATTACTGATGTATGTGTGTAGATGATGTGGAATATTGTGTCAAGAGAAAGTTTGAAATACGGATAACCAATTTCAAGTAGTTTGGAGGAATAAAAACAAAGGAGAAGTAGATGAGTTTGCTAAAGGTTTAATTAAAAAAAGTATATATTCATAAAATAATTTAAGTAAAATAAACTAACTTGTTTTGTACATAGTCTAGATACATAGCTTCTTTGTTTCCATATAATATCTATGAAGCAAAATGGTTTTAAAAAACAATGATAAAGTTAAATAAAATCATTACATACTTGTGCCATACAATCTTGTTGTCGTGCAGCACCATGTCTGCCAAATGTTGGTTGATTCTTATATCCACATGAACTAATATTTATAAACTAATTATATTTTATTGAAATTAAAAATATTATTATTCAACGATGATTTGAAATATACAGTATAAAAGGTAATTCATTTATCATGAATAAAGTCTGGATTTATATGCATTTATACATTTTGTTAAGTTATTCCAAACACAACGCTAGTCTATAGAAATTTGTAATAATAAGTTTAAAAACTTAGTAATGCATTCTAAATGGGATTATAAAGTTAAGGGATTAGGAAAATTTATTTTTCATAAATTTTTCTATGCTATTGTATATTCAAACAAATTTGGGTTTTTTAAAATGTCTCAAACAAAATTAATAGATGCATATAAATCCGGACTCTAATCATGAACTATTTAGTAAATAAAAAAATATTGAGATACTTATTATGGTTTCTTTTAAGAACATGTTTTTCTTGATTTATCAATCACAATTTTTTTATGTCCATCTGTTATAAAGGTGTCAATTTTATCTATTAAGTACCAACATACATAATTAACTAGTCATTTAATAGATAATGATCTTATAAAGTAAATGAATGGTCGATTACATTTTGTCATTTCAGAAGTTATTGACACTTGTATATAGGTAAGAGGAATAGTATGGCTGGGAAATGACCATTGATAAGCAACACCGTGTCTTACCGCCAACCATCACTATAAATGTTTTTCATTTTTTAATAACTAGTCTAATAGTTGATATTAAACAACCTTTTTTTTAATTAGATTAACATTTATGAAATAAACTAGTTAATCATGTATGTGGCATTAAAAGAAAAAAAGTTGACACTTTTATAAAGTATAAGAGATTAACATAAAAATACTTCATGATTTATTAATTAAGAAAATTGTGCATCTAAAAGAAATCAAAAAAATTCTTAATATTTTGTTTTTTCAATTAATTAGGTGGTTTATGATAAATGAATCATCTTTTATATACTACATCCAATTAATATTTAATGTATATTCAACAAAAAAATAGTTTATTTCAATCAATTATAATACTACAAACAATGGACCCTCTATTAGACAAAAACATAATTAAAACTGAAAAATTCTAAGATCAAGGATTTTAATGTAAATTAAAATTAACCTCTTTTAGACTGAAACTTCTTATTAATGAAAAAAAGTTTGGCATGCAGCATTTTTGTTGAAAAGAGATTTCATTGTACTTATGGATGTCTAGAATTTAACTATTTTTCAAAAAATAACTCACTTCTAATTATAATGACAAATATTTTAAATTAAAAAATGATTTCATGCATGTAATTTCATAAATTTCAAAAATCATAAAACAATATAGGGTATCATCTCCATAATTCATAATAAAAAAAGTTTTAATTAAGAAATTCAAAAATATGATAGTCTCAAGTTATAGTCAAAAAAATTTTAAACAAATAAAAAAACTATATTAAATTTTAGGATTTAAGTAAAGATTTACAATGAATTAATAAAATAGCATTCATTTGGTTGTTATAAATAATTTTACTTATAAATTCTTAGTCAAAATTTAAACATAAACCATTACCTTGTTACATATTAATTTAAGCTTGGATGGAGTAACATATTATGTAACACTCTTTCAGACTTAATTTTGTTTTTAAAGTCATTATACAAAAAAAATCTATAATTATTTAAAATGAGAAAAATTGTGAAAAATACAGTGTTATGTTGGTATCGTCATTCAAAGTTTATGTGCTAAATTTATATTAAATTAAAAAATTGCTGTATGCTATAAAAAAAATATTTAAAGAAAATGAACTACAATTCTTTTTAATCTATTATTGTAAAACTTGTAAATTATTACATAAAAAATTATTTTACTCCATTGTGTATTGATAAAAAAAGTAAGTTGTTTTGTTAAAAGGTAGAAAAGAATAATTCATATTTTTTTCTAATATATTTCATATTTCAAATTTTAGAGTATACAGAGTGAATAGAATTACTCAAAAAGTAAATACAATTTTTTTTTTTTTTTGGTTTTACATTTTAGAATCATTCTTATAACTTATATAGGTGTTAACTTTATTTTTTCAAATAATAACGTACATAATTTACTAGCTTATTTAATAGATAATAAAGTAATTAAGAAAATTACTGGTCCATACTAACTTTTGAACTAGTATTTCAGAAGTTATTAATAATTTAAAGCTATGACTGTTGGTGAGGAGTGAGTTAAGCTATTTTTATTACTAGTCATTTCTCAGATGTAATTTTCTACCTGTCTAGGTATAAAAAAAAAATAACTTCTAAAAAATGGTCCAAACTATTATTGACTAGTAATTTTCTTAATTACATTATTATCTATTAAATAAGTTAATAAATTATGTATGCTATCATTTGAAAAAATAAAGTTGACACCCCTATAAGTTATAAAGAGCGATTGTAAAAATTAATTTATAGCTGATAAATCTAAAAATAAACTTCACTAAAACACATTTTTTCCAAGTTTATGATAAATTGATGCCCTTGTATAACTTGAAAATATTTAATCAATACACCACAGTAAAATATTTAATATTTGATACATACCGATTTTCACTGTGTACTTCTGAAAGTGTATCTAATAACAAATTTATGTACTCATATATATTTTAATGACAAAATAATCTATAAATTAAGTATTACCATTGGAAGAATCAAAAAATTCTTCATAAATCACAAAATTATTTCCTTGATTAACTAATTTAGATAGATGAAAATGTTTCCACATAAATTGAAGAAGCTTATTTGTTGGTTGATCAATTGCTAATTTTTTTGCTTGTATTTGATTATCCTATTTAGAACCATATCATAGATATTTTTTATTTTTCATTTTATACTATTTTGTTCAACTTATTACTTTGAGCATATAATTTAAAAGAGTAATACCATAACCATGACGTTGTCTAGTTTCATGAATATAAAAATCTAATAAACAATATACCATATCTTCAGAACGGGATCCTTTTTTATCAAATAAATATAATTTTTTCCAGCCCATTTTTAGTAAGCCAACTATAATGGGATTTCTACAGAGAAAAATGCAATAATCATAAGAAAAACAAATTAATATAATGGTTATTACCCTTCAGAAGATGTTTCAATCATCAAGTAAATTATATGATCAGAATGCTCAAGTTTTTCAGCAGATGTAATAGGAATCTTCAACTCTTGAGCTATACCTGAAGCTGTTCCCATTTTGTCAATTATAATTGATAACGCTGCTTTAAGTCTTTAAAAAAATAATTTTTATTGTTGTGGCTCATTAAATAAATTATTTAAATATATAATTTAAAAATAATTGTTATTAATTACGTAAATGTAATTATTTTCCTTCTTTTTATTAGACTTAAAATAATTCTTCAAAATACAATTTTAAATCAGTTTAAATATTCTCTATTGAATGATTGCAATAACACTAAGATTAAAGCATAACTTAAGAGAAAAATTTACAAGTTATATTTTATATCTTAATAATTATTTACAATAAATTTTGTAGTACTAACTGTGGGTCATCCATATGGCTATTTACTGGTAATAAAGTGTTGTCTATTTTTATAATTAATTCATTTGCTATTTTTCTTAAATCAAATTGTTGAAATTCCATGATAATGCAACGACAAATCAAACGACAAATAATTCAAGTAAATTAAATAATGAAATTAAAGTTTCAAGATATTTACATATAAACTCTTCAACAAATAATAGCAGTGTCCTAATAAGGAATCGTATAAGGTAGTTTCAATGAAGTCGAATCAGTATACAGTCTATTAGTGCGCTTCGATTTTACCGTTATATTATTTATCTTGATAATCCACAAAAATACAATTATTTGGAGGCTGGTAACACTGTAATATATGAAAACTTTTAATAAACATAAAAATAATCATAAATCAATAAAAATAATTAATTAAATTTACTAAAATTACATATTAATCATTGTAATGATTGGGTTATGATGAATAAATCACTCTATATAATAGGGTATGAAAATATTTTTTAGATACGCAGAAATAATCATTAGCCACCAATTTTTATTTTTTCTAACTCCACTTATATTTTATTTTAGCTTCGATGCGAAGCGGAGAAGGTATTAATTTTACTATGATGTGTTTTTTTTTTAGCTTCGATGCGAAGCTGAGAAGGTATTAATTTTACCATGATGTGTTTATTTTTTTTTTTGTGTCTGTCACTACTTTTTCTCAGCTCTCACTGGACCGATTTCTTTTAACAATACGTCAAAAGATCACAAATTGTATCTAGTTGAAGACATTACCCTTAAAAATTTAAAAATTTTCCCTCGTTCCCCGCAAATGGGGGAAATATCCAAAAAAATTACAAATTTAAAAATCGACAAATTTTGTCATTTTTTTCACTTTTTTTTCTTAAAACTTCCATAACTTTTTCAAAAATCAACAAATCAACATAATTTTTTTTTAAACTAAAACCTTAGATATTTTCCTTTCATTTGATATAATTTTTTTGAAAATTTAACACTTAACCTGCTCATGGGGGGGGATTTAAAATTGCAACTTTTTTACAAAAACTAACTTTTTCAACTTAATTTTTGAAAATGTTCCGGAAATACTGCGTCCTTTAAACATATATCAAATTAAAGCTTATTTTATGTACTATAAAATGAAAAAAAAAAATTTGTCCCGACACTTTATCTTCTGCATGTAAACGGTTGCCGTAGTTAAAAAAACACTATTTTTGTGTTAAAATTTTCGATTTTCAATTTTTAATTTTCAACTTAAAAATGCTATAACTTTTCGAAAAATGCATGTATCAGCACAATTTTTTTTTTTCTAAATACATTATAAGTACATCTTCCATTTGACATACTTTTTATTAAAATTAGACAATTTCCCCTTATATAGGGGGGGTTCAAACTTTGAAACATTGTATAAAAAATAGAACTTTTTCAACTGAACTTTTGAAAATGTTCCGGAAATACTGCGTCCTTTAAACATATATCAAATTAAAGCTTTTTTTATGTACTATAAAATGAAAAAAAAAAATTTGTCCCGACACCTTATCTTCTATGTGCAAATGGCTGTCGAAATTATAAAAAAAATGTAATATTTGCGATAAAAATCACCTTTTATAACGATGTTTTTTGTACTTAAAACTGCCATAACTTTTTCAAATATTAACTAATCAAAATAATATTTCTTTATATTGAAACCTTAGGTAATTTTCTTTCATTTGATATCATTTTTTTTTGAAAATCTAACACTTATTCTGCTCACAGGGGGGATTTAAAATAGCAACTTTTTTACAAAAACTAACTTTTTCAACTTAATTTTTGAAAATGTTCCGGAAATACTGCGTCCTTTAAACATATATCAAATTAAAGCTTATTTTATGTACTACTAAATGAAAAAAAAAAATTTGTCCCGACGACCTATCTTCTATGCGCAAAAGGCTACCGTATTTAAAAATATGCTATTTTTTATTAAAATTCTAGGTTTTGTATTTTATTTTATTTTAAAATATTTTATTAGGGGAATAAACTGACTTTCATGAATATTATATAATTTCATTGACATAGAATAAAGTTCATAAGACATATGATATTATACTTATTAACATTTTTTACTTTTTTAAAGTCGAAAAAGTAATTTTTAAATTTGAGTTAGCTTAAATAGCCAATTTTATCATGCAACAAAAATCAACGAATAGTTGCCGAATGGGTAACACCTTGATCTTTAACGCCTAGGGTACGAGGTTCAAATCCGTTTGTGGCTTCTAAAATTTTGCATTTTTTTTTTGAGTTAGAATAGAATTTTCAAATCATTTGATATTTATCTCATTTAGATTCAATAATTTCAATAAATATAAAGGATCTTATCACTATAGTCTCCCCTCGTGAGAAGAAATTGATATTCATGTTAATATTATTTTACTATGTGGTTCTTTTTCTGGCTACGATTTATTTTGCCAACCCTCACTAGACCTACTTTTTTCAACGATACGTCAAATGATTCATTTAAGTTTATGATATTTAAGTTAATGATTAGTTTAAGTTATTACTCTTAAAAATCAAAAAAATATTCCTTATTCAAATAAAAAGTAGCTTAACTAGATTTGTCCATACAAACAATTAAAATCATTAATTTTTAATATTCTTAAATTATTTATTGTCGAATTAAATTTGATATGATAAAAGTATTCAACTACAAAAGTAAATAATTTTACTTTATAATTTATTAATTTTTTAACTCTATTTCTGTGTGCTACTACCAGTCTATAATATGCCAAATTTTTTAGTAATATTTTGCTATATAAATCATAAATTTAAAAAAAAAATGATTTTTAGTTTCACCTGAAGTTAACGATGGAGTTTTACAATTATAATTATATTTTTGATAATATGCTCAATTGAGTAAATCTTTTTAACTACTTTGGTTTGATTGGTTCATTTAATTAAAGTAAATTATTAAAATTAATTAAGTTCTGAATATTTCAATTGCAGAATTTTTTTAAACACCAAAAGTTATTAGGATATGATTACTATTCTTTCTATTTCAGTTATCTATTACGATAAAAATGTAAAAAAATCGAATTTTTCTGACAAATGTACTGTAATTAGTAATTATAAAATTTCCAGATTGCATATTAATCTTAAAAATTTCATTTTTTTCAATTTAATAATGTCAATTTCAAACTTGCAAGTTGAACTATAAGTTATGGTAACAAATTCATTTTTTAGCTTCGATGCGAAGCTGAGAAGGTATTTTTCATTAAAACTTTCACTTTAAAAGACAATAAAAAATAGGTTCAAAATGATTACCTTTAACATATTAAAAATCAAAATCAGTATTAATTTAATACAATTTTTTTTGTTCTTAATTATTTTTTTTTATATGTAAATACTTATTTTTTAATAATAAGTAATAATATTAAAACTTAGAAGTAATAGAAAAAGTTTAATTGCACATTTGAAAACATCACGAAAAGTTTATTTAGAAAAGTATATTTTTTTTCTGATGAAAGTTCCTTTTGTTTAGTGTATTTATTCATAAGTAACAAAATTTTTTTATTAAAAAGTATTGCATAAATTCCTTTAAATTTGTATACGCATTAAAAGTATATGAATATACAACTCCTTTTTATTTTTATAATATCTCCGTAAAAATTACAATATTATATTATTGAATACCACTTTCATACTCAATTTAATTACTGTAATTATTATGTATTCATATATTATAGTTATAAATCGGGGTAAAATTAAGGGAATAAGTGTTATTGTTGTTTTTGAAATAATCTACCAATTTCATTTTTTTCTATTTAATAATATTTATTTCAAACTTGCAAGTTGAGTTAAAAGTTATGGTAATAAATTCATTTTTTTTTTATTAAAACTTTCACTTTAAAGAACAAAAAGAAGTAGGTTCAAAATGATTACTTTTAACATATTAAAAATCAATAATAATTTGAAAATAATTAATTATAAAAATTATATAATATATAATTAAAATAATTACTAATCTGGATATAATTAAGGAAATAGGAGTTGATGTTGGGTTGGGTTGGTTACATTTTTAACTTTATAATGCTATAACTCATTGAAAAGTGTACGAATCAACACAATTTTTTTATGAGAAATAATATTTTTTAATAATCCCTTTTTCATTCGACATACTTTATCTTAATCAGGGTATTAATAAGAAACTAGCAGATAATGTAGCTTTTGTAATTATCCACCAATTTCTTAGAATTAAACACTATCTACTGATTTGCATCGAAGCGTTTCTTATGATAGTGATTTTAATCACTGTCAGATTAAATCTATACTGGACCCAACTATACAACATCCCCACTATGCCGCGACCCCACTGTGCTGGGTTTTTTTTTTTTAGCTTCAATGTTTATGTCTGTTGCCACTTTTTCTCAGCTCTCNTTTTTTTTTTTTTTTATGTCTGTTGCCACTTTTTCTCAGCTCTCACTGGACCGATTTCTTTCGAAAATACGTCAAAAGATCACAAATCGTATCTAGTTGAAGACATTACCCTTAAAAATTGAAAAAAGTTCCCTCGTTCCCCGCAAATGGGGGAAATATCCAAAAAAATTACAAATTTAAAAATCGCTAACTTTTGAAATTTTTTCACTTTTTTTTCTTAAAACTTCCATAACTTTTTGAAAAATCAACAAATCAACATAATTTTTTTTTATACTAAAACCTTAGATATTTACCTTTCATTTGATATCATTTTTTTGAAAATCTATCACTTAACCTGCTCATTGGGGGGGATTTAAAATGGCAACTTTTTTACAAAAATTAATTTTTTCAACTTAATTTTTGAAAATGTTCCGGAAAGACTGCGTCCTTTAAACATATATCAAATTAAAGCTTATTTTATGTACTACAAAATGAAAAAAAAAAATTTGTCCCGACACTTTTTTTTCTACATTTAAACGGCTGCCGTAGTTAAAAAAACACTATTTTTGTGTTAAAATTTAAAATTTTCGATTTTAAATTTTCAACTTAAAAATGCTATAACATTTTGAAAAATGTATATATCAGCACAAATTTTTTTTTCGAAATATATTATAAGTACATATTTCATTTGACATACTTTTTATTAAAATTGGACAATTTCCCCTTATATAAGGGGCGTTCAAAACTTAAAATATTGTAAAAAACATAGATCTTTTTCAACTGAACTTTTGAAAATGTTCCGGAAATACTGCGTCCTTTAAACATATATCAAATCAAAGGTTATGTTATATACTATCAAATGAAAAAAAAAAATTTGTCCCGACATCTTATCTTCTATGTGCAAATGACTGTCGAAAATTTAAAAAAAAATGTAATGTTTG